GGGGCATTCGAACCCACAAATTACGTTGAGAAAACTCCAAAGTTGAGGGTTGTTTGACAGCCATGTCCAAAATTTGTAACTTATGCTACGTACACCAGGTGACCACCCCTGGCACCCCAAAGGCAAAGAGAGCGTTGATCATCAATAGCCGCACGCTCCCTCCGTGGCATAAACCACGTTGTCCGTTACATTAAGGCTGAGGGTTTCGCGTAATCAATGTGAGAGCAGCCTACCCTACGGCTGTTCATGGGTATGAACTCGGCACAACTTAAACTGACCGGAATGTACCTGTTAACCCAATAGGGCCTACAAGTATTTCTGCAGGCTGATACAGCCAACAACAGAGCTGCATAAAAGTAGGAAAAGCAGGACTTGTCGATAGATGGCCCAAAAGACGGAGTCTGAATCCGACTGGTGTGATGGGATGGAATCAGTCAAGCAAATCGGTCGCCCAAGAAGAACATGTGGACACCACACCAGGTCAATCTGTCTTCTACTCCTTCCAATCAAGGCGTACAATCACAGTCCTAGTGTTGATTGTCAATAGCCGCGCCCCCTCCGTGGCATCAACCACGTTATCTAAGCTGAGGGTTTCGCATGATCCGTGCAGAGAACAATTGTTTCAGGGATGATGGCCCAAGAAATAGGAAAAATGCGTCAAGCTGGACGGTGCCAGGTTTCCCTTGGCAGTCCACAGGTCAAAAACAGACTGAACAGGGCCTATCAGCTCACAGCACTTCCAGCCCTAACTGGCAGCCTCTGTAGACTGGGTGAATCATCGTCTTCGGCCGAATCACCCGTGCAATACCAAAAGACGGGGCAGGCTCAGCTTGCTCTTGTGGAGATTCAGGGGCACGGCTAACTATGTGCGGTATATCTTGCTGTCTGCGGGCCACCAAACCATGACCAACGGTCAATGCGTGGGGGTCAGTTGCTGCAAGAGACTCCAGTGCATGCCACACAGAATCCAGTACATTAGTACACGTACATTGTGTATGTACACAACTCCACACACAGACACGGCATCCATGTTTTGCTGCTTAAGTGTCCAGTCCACTAATTCAAGCCCCATTGAAAACAGTGTAAAACCAGCACCGTTCAGGGCCCAATAGCATGCACGTCAACATCCCTGAGATTTCTGAAACACAAATGAAATTCTTGTCTGGTCACTTATCTTTC